TTTCGAACGAAATAACACATTATCTTATTAGAATCCAATATTGAAACAAATTTGTAATGAGAATCGAATTCAAACCAAATTTGAAATTGTAACAACATAAAATCCTGACTATTTGCTGATTTCCTTCAAAGACTTTTGTGTAGGTACAGTGTAAATATACCGTCAATTGCCTGTCGTATAAGACCGACCCCCTACTATGTCCTGCTACAAATGTAGTGTTTGGGCTTATACTCACCGTAGACTAAGACTACCCCGCCTTCCAATGCACACCAGTGGTGAGAGGAAAGTGCCAACTCATCGGTGTCAGTGGGGAGAAATAGTGCCCCATCATCGGTGTCAGTGGGGGAATAGTGCCCCATCATCAAGTGTCCAGTGGGCAGGAATAGTGCCCCATTTGGTTACATCAGTGGGGAATAGTGCCCCATCATTGGTGTGCCCCACTCATCAGGGGTGAGGAATAGTGTTCCCATCATTGGTATCAGTGGGAGGAATAGTGCCCCATCATTGGTGTCAGTGAGGGAGGAATAGTGTCCCATCATTGGTATCAGTGGGAGGAATAGTGGCCCCGATCTTGATTGGTATCAGTAGGGGAGGAATAGTGCCTCCATCATTGTGTCATGGGAGAAATAGTGTCCCATGGGAGGAGGAATAGTGTCCCCCTCATTGTCAGTAGAGGGAGAATAGTTCCTATCATTGGTGTCAGTGGGAAGAGTAGTGCCCCATCATTAGTGTCAGATGGGAGGTAATAGATGCCCCATTCATTGGTGTCATGGGAGGAATAGTGCCCCATCATTAGTATCAGTGGGGGGAATAGGTGCCCCCCATCATTGGTATCAGGTGCAGGAATAGTGGGCCCCATCATTAAGTATCAGTGGGGGAATAGTGCCCCATCATTGTGTCAGTGGGAGGAATATGTGCCCCAATCATTGGTGTATCAGTGGGAGGAATGTGTCCCAGCATCATTGGAGTGTCAGTGGGAGGAATAGTGTCCCATCATTGGTGTCAGTGGGGGTAGGAATAGTTGCCCCATCATAATGGTATCTGTGGGAGGGGAATAGTGCCCCATCGATTGGTGTCAGTGGGGGGGAATAAGTGCCCCATCATGTTGGTGTCAGTGGGAGGAATAGTGCCCCATCATTGGTGTCAGTGGGAGGAATAGTGCTCCAACATTGGTATCAGTGACATCAATGATGGGACACTATTCCTCCCACTGACACCAATTACACTTGCTGACCCCTGTTCTAGTATGGTGCTGCTGCAGCCAGCCATATGTGGTTGCAGCAGCACCTCTACACTGAACACTTACCTGCTGCTCCTGCACTCGATTTTCGCGGGGCTGCTCGGCTCCGCCCCCTCGCCGGTGATTGCCCGCCTGTGTGCCTTTCCTGAGCTACAGTTGTGGCGGCCAATCACCGGTGGAGGCGGGGCCAAGCAGCTGCGCGAACATCCAGTGGCCGAACTGAAGGAGCAGCCGCGCTTCCTGGACTGGATCGTCGTGGGACTGGAGCCAGGTAAGAAACAGCCCCTGCCCACCCCCTGTACTTAGTGTCCCTTCCGTTGGAAGGGGGGGGGCGGCGGCGCCCCCCTAAAAAGTGTCAGTATGCCATATAACGGCGTATAAGACGACCCCCGACTTTTGAGAAGATTTTCAAGGGGTAAAAAGTCGTCTTATACGCCGGAAAATACGGTAGTTGCCTTACAAAATAAAAATTTCAAATAGAATAGAATAAAACAGAATAGAATAGAAAAGAATATAATACAAAATAAAAAAAATAGAATATAATAAAATAGAAATAGAATAAATATATTTGTCTTCTGAAATTCGGATTTCAAAAAGAATAGCATGAAACAGAATAAAATAGAAAAGAATAGTGTAAAACAGAAAATACTAAAAAATAAGGAATAGGATATGAAAATAAAAGAACAGAATAGAAAATAAAGGAAGAGAACAGAATAAAATATAATAGAATAGAGAAGAAAAAGAATAGAAAATAATAGAAGACAATAAAATGGAATGGATTAAAATAGAAAGAATAGAATAGTAACAAATTTGAAAGAATCTGAAATAATGAAACTAAATTTTGAACGAAATAACAAATTATCTGTATTAGAATCCAATTAGAAACAAATTTGAAAATTAAATCGAATTTGTACACAAATTTGAAATGTAAACATAATCCTGACTATTGCTGGATTCCTTCAAAGACTTTGTGTAGTTAAGTATAAATATAACTGTCTTCCAAAAATAAAAAATGTAAAAAAAAAAAAACCATAGAATAGAATATAAAAGAATAGAATATAAAAAAAAATAGAATAGAATAAATATATTTGTCTTCTGAAATTCAAATTTCAAAAAGAATAGCATAAAACAGAATAAAATAGAAAAGAATAGTGTAAAAAACAGAATATAATAAAAAATAAAGGAATAGGATATGAAATAAAAGAACAGAATAGAAAATAACTAAGAGAATAGAAAAAAATAGAATAGAATAGAAAAGAAAAGAATAGAAACAATAGAAGACAATAAAATAGAATGGATTAAAAAATAGAAAGAATACAGCCGTTTTCTGAAATTCGAATTTTGAATAGAATAAAATAAAATAGTATATATCCATCGTTTCGAAATTCAAATAGAATAGAATAACACAGAACAGAATATAAAATAATAGAGTAAATGCTTGTAAATTAATTGGATCCTCTCTAGATTGTCCCTAGTATGTGTATGTATGAATGTGAGTTAGGGACCTTAGATTGTACGCCCCTTGAGGGTTAGGGACCTTAGATTGTACGCCCCTTGAGGTACGCCCACTTAGGGACCTTAGATTGTACGCCCCTTGAGGGTTAGGGACCTTAGATTTTGTACGCCCCTTGAGGGGTTAGGGACCTTAGATTGTACGCCCCTTGAGGGTTAGGGACCTTAGATAGTACGCCCCTTGAGGGTTAGGGACCTTAGATTGTACGCCCCCCTTGAGGGTTAGGGACTGATGTGAATGTACAATATATATGTAAAGTGCTGCGTAAATTGATGGCGCTATATAAGTACCTGAAATAAATAAATACATAAATAAAACGGAAGAGAATAGAAAATAACGAAATAGAATATATAATAAAGGAAAAGAATAGAAATGAATAGAATAGAATGCAAAACTCAACTGTCCAACAAAACCCAACTGCTCTGTTAGTTGCCTCCCAGCAACTAACATTCAGATTCCCCCCACCATGGGTGGGTCATGGGTGGGTCATGACTTATAAGAATCTGGATGCCGTCTTTAACCAGGGGCCCCCATACCCCCCTCCATATGATGTGAATGAGTATCAGATAAGTAGTACCTCTATCAGTTTCAATTCAGTAGTAGTAAATAAAAACACAAAGAAAGTTTGACAAGTCCTATAATAAAAAAAAAATCGAAAATGTCACCCCATTGTCATTCATGATGAACAACGACCGCCAACCTGCATGAAAAAAAAAAACCCAGCTGTCCATGAACAGAATAGAATGCAAAATAATAGAATGGAAAATAAAGAATAGAATAGAAAAAAATAAAATAGAATAGAATAAAATAGAAATAATATAGCAGTCTTCCGAAATTTGAATTTCAAATAGAAAATAAACAGCTATTCTTCACAATGAATTCAGATCAATATAATATTTTTGATTCGAATTCGATTCAAACACAATTCGAATCCATTGGAAAAAATTTGAATCTGGTCGAAACTGAATGAACAAATTGATCAGAAAGCAACAAAATAAATGTTTTCGTTCTGCGCATGTCTAGTGAAATTTATTGGCTAACGTCCAGATCTGGGTTTTTGTTTCTTACATTATACTTTTTGTAATATGTAGTCATCATTTCTGCTTTTTTTGCTACTGCACAAGGATCCTGCATATGGGGGGAGAAGAATGATTTTTCTTTTTTTTTAGCCAAAACTGATTTTGCCACAAAATGAAATGACTGATTTAGTCATTGTCCAAAAATTAAGTGAAAACTCTTAATTTTGCTCTCTGAGTTGCTTGAAGCTACCAGAAGACCTTCCATGGACAGTGCGGATTCGGCATGTACATGAGTTACTATGCTGGAATTATTACAAAGAAAGCTCCAAATGTATATCCTATAACTTATGTCGATGGTTTTGATGGTGATATAATGCAGGAGAGGATGTGCTGGATATAGAAATTTGGAAATGAAAATTGCACTTACTTGTGGGTACCGATAGAGCCCCAGAATATGAGCCAACAGCATGGTGTAGGTGGAGATGGAGTGGCCAATGACAGCAGCCAAATGGGCATCTTGGTTACAGTGGTAGTTGGCCAGAGGTCGGCCATGTCCACTCAGCAGCTGCAGTGTTCCCGATATGGCCCTCTGCAGGACAGTGCAAGAGTCAAAAATCTGAAACCCTAGCGAAATGTTTGGCAATAATTGAGGATCTTGATTTATCTCCTCCACTGCAAAATGGACAGCCTGGACACGCTGATAATTCTCCAGCCTGAAACTGAATTTAAGACAAAGGACAACACATCATGCCAGTCATTCATGTTCTTTAAAATCTAACCTAAGATAACCTGTTGTGCAAATGATACTATTTAAGTTGAGATCTAGGCAGATATAAAAGATACACCTTCGGGTTTGGTATGAATTGTAAGGAGGTTCTCATGCCAAAAAAAAAAAAAATGGTGTGAGGTTCCCACCCAAAATCTATACCAGACCCTCATCCGAGCATGTATTGCAGCAGGTCAAGAAAGGGGGGGGGGATGAGAGTGTTCATACCAACTCCCAAAACCATACCAAGCCACATGCCCTCAACATCAGGTGGTATGTTGCCTGGCAAAGAACCTTGTCCCCATGTTGATGGGGAGGGTCTCTTCTCCACAACCTTGGCCTGGTGGTTGTTCAGGTGTGGGGTTGACTTACAAGAATCTGAAAGCCCTCTTTAACCACTTCCCATCCGGCCCATGTATATAAACGGCCAGCAGCAGTGCAGGAGCGGGTTGCCGTTTATAAATGGTACCTTCCATTTTAGCCTGTGCAGACTCCCTTTATGTGAGGTCCTGATCATGTGATCACTGATTGGCCGATCAGTGATCACATGCATAGTAGTAAGCAAGATGTCACTTCTGACATCATTGCTTACTACTAGTGAAATATTAATTATTTATTTCAGGTACATATATAGCGCCATCAATTTTAAGCAGCACTTTACATATATATTGTACATTCACATCAGTCCCTAACGCTCAAGGGGCGTACAATTTAAGGTCCCTAACCCTCAAGGGGAGTACAATCTAAGGTCCCTAACTCTCAAGGGGAGTACAATCTAAGGTCCCTAACTCACATCCATACATATACACATTAGGGACAATTTAGACAGGAGCCAATTCACCTACCAGCATGTCTTTTGGAGTGTGGGAGGAAACCAGAGTACCTGGAGGAAACCCACGCAGGCACAGGGAGAACATGCAAACTCCAGACAGGTGGTGCTGTGGTTGGGATTCAGACCAATGACCCTAGTGCTGCCAGGTGGAAAGTGCTAACCATTTAGTCACTGTGCTGCCCGTAATGTGAATGATCAAAGAGATTACATGGTACAGAGCTATTCACAACAGCCTTGTACCATGTGACAAGCTGTGACCAATCACAGCTCTCACAGTATTTCTCAAACGGCTGCAAGAATGCAGCCAGAGAGAAGGAGAAATGATTGCTTTTACAGCCTTTATGGGTGTAAAAGCAATCAGTGTAAAAAAAAAAAATCTTCATCACCCCCCACAAGTAGTACAGTGTCACCATGGTGACACTGTACTGCTAAGGTGACAGTATGTTAAAAAAAAACCCATAAATTATAATATAAAATAATAAAATAAAAATGTAAAACAAAGTTTGAAAAATTATCATTTTTGGTTATAAACTAATTTGGGTTATTTTTTTTTTACTAAAAAGATAACTGAATAAATTTTGGCCAGGTTTGTATGAAGAAAGATTATCTATTTGCAAAATGTTATAAGAAAAAAAACACTTTTTTGCAAAATTTTTGGACTTTCATTTATATAGCAAAAAAAAAAAAAAAAATCCCAGTGGTAAATAAATACCACCAAAATAAAGTTTTATCTGTCTCAAGAAAATGCAAAAAATTCATAGGGGTACAGTGTTGCATGACCGCGCAAAT